CAAATCCACCATCACTTCTCCATCCGCCCCACGCACACATCACCCCGCTGTGCCAGGAGCACATCCCTCGTGGGATGTTGTTAACTCAGTCTCCGGGGATTTCACCAAGAACAAGCTCTCTCCTTGCAAAATAGAAACTTCAACAACTTCTGTAAGAGGTCAAGCCCTGGTTTGCTCAGTACCTCAGTGCTCAACCCCTCCTCATGCACAGTTCAGGCCCCTCTGTTTCAATCACAAGCTCCTTTGCTGCAAGCTCTCTATTTTCAGCTAAGTATTTGCACAGGAACCAGCCACCCTGGGCCTCAGCATCATCTGGACCCCCCCACTTTGGCCATGCAAAGTCATAAACCAGAGGCCCTTTGCATTTAGAGTGTTGCATCATTTACTGGTGCTCCTCACGCTCAGCTCTTCACCAACAAACCATCCAGGAGGTTGCTCCTGCCACATTTCCCCTCCCGCTGAGCTTCTACCTGCTGTGAAGAGCATCAATCAAGAGACACTTTGCACTTACCAGGTTCTTTCTGCAAGGGGCTGCCAAAAAGCCTATCACAAGCTCCACTTTTGGCTGCAGAGGGCTAAATGCAAGGCTCTGTCCCCAGTGCTGTGCTGTGAAATGCTGTGGTTGGGTCCCTTGTGTGATCACCCAAAGGATAAGCCTATGGCAGAAGACCCCACATCCCTCTTTGCACCACTGGTACAGATGGGCTGTGCCAGTATCTCTGTGCCCAGCCAGAATTTAGCCCTTCTGAGAAAGGGAAATAACTAAACAGGGCTTTTTTTATCAGTGTATTTGTGCATGTTGAAGCATTGCACCAGATTACTGACTTTGACAGGGAAAGAAAAACTCAGCTCTTGTAGAGACAGTTATTGTGGTGTAAAAACAAGAGGCTGGAGCTAATCATTCTCTTCCTCACAGTGTGCACTGGGTTATTAGACATTTATTGCACTTCAGGATGATGATGATGATCCTATCGGGCTCAGTAAAGGGATAGGGGGGGGGGGTGGGGTGGGGTTAAGCAAGCAGCATGAGATGCTTCCTTTCCCAGCTCATCAGCATCAAAACAACCTTGGAGCTCACTCCATATACAATCAGTGTTCCCTGTGCTGCTGCTCCTGGTCAGAGGCTTTTAAATGGCCCAAGGAGAAGTATTTGAGTACTGAAAATCGCTGCTGTTAGAATATTACAGTTACAGAGGTCATTTCTTGTCGAAGAGGGGAGGAAATGGCCACAAAACCCCCAGGCCTGCTTGGGTTAGTTATCTGTACCTGCACTACACAGCTCTGCCTAAGGAGAATGTTGCAGGTGCTGGACCTGAGCAGGGACCTTTTGTGTCCTCAGAAACACAGATACACCCATGCTCCATTAACTGGGAGCACATCACCAGTAGCTGCCATTGCCAAGGAGACAGATTGACCTTATTAGCAGTATTCATGTATTAATGCTTATGAGAAAGAGAAAAAAAACCAATCTGGTTTCTCCAGTGCAGGGCTCCTGGGTAAGCAACAGATTTAATCTCTTCCCAGTGGAAAACATTGCCCTGATCCCACTCTTCCTTTGCTCCAGGGACAGCTGAGTTTTTAGCTGCCTGGGGCTGTGTTCCACCAGCAGATACACACAGCAAGAGATGATCTTTCCAGCTCTATTAAACATCTTGAGCATTAAATCCTGCAGGACAAAAGGGAAAGCAGATCAGTCACTCACAGCCACCCGCCAGCGATGCAAGTGTCACTGCTCCATAGAGCCAGCCCCGTCTTCACTAAGTATTACCTAACGCTCAACAGTTGTAAGCTGCTTCCTCACAGCACCCCACCACCAGTGACTGCACACTCTCAGGACGTGGGTTTGCATCCACATGCATCACAACTGCTACTTGTCACCCAAAGCTAGCTAAAAAGTAAGAACTACAGCAGGTTCGGGTCCTGTGGTTTATTACACACGTGCGGGAATTGAGGCGTCAATCCCTGATGTGTACATCCCAGAGCATCCTTTGCTCTCACATTCACCATTCCACTCACACCATCACCACACCTTCCCCACATCCTTCCTGTTCTTTATTCAGAGGGAAAAGCCAATAGCAGGTACACAGGGAGGTGTGTGGCCAGGGCAGGCAAACGGCTTTGCCTGCATTCACTGAAGGAGCAGGTTTCCCTGATGCAGCCTCCTCTTTGCCTTAGCAAAACCCAGCCTGGGTTCTATTTACTAAATAGATAATAATAAAATAGATAAATAGATAAATAAAATAACTAAATAGATAATAGCCTGGGTTCTATTTCCAGCTATTTCAGTCCCTTCTTAAGCTTTAAGAAAGAAACATCCATTTGCAGGTGGAGGATTTCCCATGTGCTGCAGGGGAGAACTGAAACAGTGATGAAGCTGGAGGGGGGGGGACAGGCTGAGGTGTTCTTCTTTCTTCTGTCTGTATTTTGCAGCCTCTGGGTTGTGAAGAAGCAAGATGGTTGGAAATAGCTGTTTATGGGGAATGGGGGACTGGAAAATAATCACAACTGATGCAGGAGGAGGTGGGGTTTTGATGTGAAAAACACGCTTTTCAGACAAGCAGCAGCAAAGCTGGTTGAGAACCCAGAGAGCAGCAGCTCGGCTGACTCCTGCTGTCACTACAAACATGAACTGGAAGATGTGGAGTGTGGGGAGCATGAAGAG